GCTCGTTTGGGAGCTGACACAAGAACTGAAAGAAGAACGCTGAGCGCGTTACTAATTCGTATTTTCTGCGCCGAATTCCTTCAAGAAAAAAAAAAAAATCGAAAACAAAATTGGTCTCTAGTATGGATTGCCCTAATTTAAAAACCAACACCAGGGTGGGAAAGGAAAATAAAGTCAAAAGCCGCGGCGAGAAGGCCTAATTTGATTCCCCCGGGTCATTGAGGCCGTAATTACTCCGTAATTACGGACATGAGACTCTCTTAACAAATTCCTGCAGGCTGAGCCCGAATCTGCCACTAACGGAGACAACCCAATAAGCTGCTGGCTGCCCCCTTAAAAGCAGAAACTCAGTCCGCTTCAGTAACGCACGTGAATTAATTGCCCGAATTAACTAGTGACTAATCTACACCAATACCCCTCATTCGTAAAGCCCCGCAACTGCTTGTCAACTTCCGCAAGAATCCCGCCTCGGAAAGGGAGGCTGAAACGCGAAATATTCGACATAATCTTCCTTTTATAATCCACCAACTTGCGACCATAAAGAACCCACATTTATCGGGTGGGAATTTTGTGGGAATTTTCTATTTTAAAATGAACCAATTTTAGGTTGCGGGATGCTTGACATTTTTAGGATTTCTAGAACTTTTCTTCAAATAATTCGGCTGCCATCCTGAATGATTTAAGGGTGTCACGGAGACAAAAAGAAAGAGGCTGCATCATTTTTGGAATGCTTTTTTCAAAATTGTATTTTCGCGATAACGTGCAACTTTTAAATCATTAAAAATATGTATCGTGTGTCGCTTCAATGACCATTTTCAAACCGATGATGATTATGTGAAGAGCAGACTTTTTTTCTAGGAAAATCAATTGGAAGAACTTGAAAAGCTACCGATTGGAAAGAAAAAACAATTCAATTCATTGAGCTACTGCATTTCCTGAACATTTTCATGAAATACCAGATCATAAAAACCATCCAAACAAATACGACGACATTAGTTTTCAAATTTTTGTGGCCGGTTTTTTTATCAAAGAAAATTTTAGATTGTAAAGAGGAAAAACATTGACATTTTCAAATTATAAATTACGAGGTAAGCTTAAAAAAAATAGACCTTTGCATTTATTCTTGCGAAGAATGGTTTTCAGATTATGTTTATCCATTGGTGCAGTAAATTCATACCACTAAATTTTTGGGCACTGATTATTTTAAGAAATTTTCGCGGAAAGGATACTTACAAACACTGAAGATTCTGGTCAGCTTAGCAATCATCTGTATTATAATCACAGGATTTAGTGCAATTTGTATTTATTACCCGCAAGCATTGGAGTGAAGTTTAATTAAAAGTATAGAATGCATTGAGAGTACACATGTCACTCTGATTCTTTAAAAAAAATTAAACGGTTTTAAAAGCGTCAGCACCTCTTAACGTTAAAAACCGCCTAAAATAAAAAATAAAAAACGACCTTGAAAGCATCTTGGGGTACCTTATTAGCACTCCGTTAAAGCCTTATATCTCTGATGGCCAGGGATGAAAGAAAAACGGCGCCTTGGCCTCTGCGTGGGCCTTTGCATGCGAAAGCAACCAAGTACCTGCGGACGAGATTTTGCCCGAGGCGTCCCTCGTGCTTGCTACTTCATTGTTTCCTTTTTTATTCTCCGGTTGTTTTTTTTATTTTCCTATGCATCCACCTCATTCCGAGCATCGCTGGCTACCTTTTTGCGTGCAGTTCAAATATTTTATTTCCATGCACCCTACATAATATTTACTTTGATATTCTTCTCGCTCATCCTGAATCCGCGGCGCGTCGTGAATCACGTAATGGGGCTTCGTTGGAGTCTTGGCAGGTGAGCGTTCATTAAGTCGAGAGACCCGGGCGAAGACTTGGCGATTCTTTATAGGCCTCGGGTGTCTGGGAGTCCTGGTGGTTGGATATTTTGGCAACGATTTTTAAAATGAGAAATAATTGTAGAGTTATTGAAATCCGGTAGAATTTTGCTGTCCCGTGACCCCTTTTCCTGGGAATGCAGATGATGAAGACGAAGTTTGAGTGTTTTATTTTTTGCTGTTGAGGACGATCATTTGGCAGAAGTTTGTCTTGCAGAGTTTCCTTCGAAATGTCGAATAAAAGTGTCGTTCAAGTACAATAAAAAAAAGAGTCCACCTATTCTTGGATTCGAGCAGTTCAGAATTTATTTTGGGGATTTCTTTTTCGTGAGGAGGAATTTTTGATCACAGTCTTCGAGAAGTTTTCTCGAGAGCTGGTTCATGATTTTTTTCGAATTTTTCTAGTATGGATTGCAATGATTCCTGGAATATGCACGAGATGTTTTTTTATTATCCAAGTATAGCATTCTTTTCATAGAATTTTGCATGCCTTTAACTTGTATAAGGTGGTTTGAAAATGAAGAAAAAATTTTCAAGTGAAGAAGAATCCACCTTTCGTGTCCCTGTTCCACACGTTCATTCCGAAATCACCATATACCATACTTTCCAAATATTTTTTGCTTCCGGTTTTCATTTCTTCAGCCGAAGTCAACGTAAAATGCAGATTTTTCAATTGTATAGTCAATGAATTTATTTCCAAGCATTTATGAAGCTTTCTGAATTCCTGCTGAAGAAGTACGAATGGGGTATAATATTTTCTCCCGCACAATAAACCTCATTTTGGCTGATTTTTTTATTGAATGCAATTGGTGGAAAAAGTTGGCAATGTTGGGAAATTATTAAATGCTTTTTGTCTGGCAAACTGAGTGTCTTGAACCACCTCTTCGTGATGTTTTGCTTCTCCGGGGTCAACTCGTGAGCATTTCAGCCAGCTGGGTTGTTCGCAGAAAAAAACATAAATAAATTTCTCATCACCTCTTCACTGAATACTTCCTTCATTCCAGTCAATGAAAATTCCCAGGTTCATTCACAAGTACTTTGTGTCCGCAAAATATGTATTTTTGTTGCGAGAATAAACGAAGAAATAAATTCTGCGTGGCTATGAAAAGAATGCCGAATTTCTTCCGGCGTGTTTCCCTTCCCCCCGACACTTCGAGTCACGAATTCAACCACGAAAAATAGTTTTCTTGGAACGGAATTCGTGGAATTCTCGAAAATTCCGGGCATTTCTTGGGAACCCGGGTTACAATTGAGCGATTGTTCGAGTCACGTTTCGAATGAAGACGGACACGCGAACCTGGAGCCCAGTAAGGCAGAACATCGAATAACCTTGTCATTGTGGTCGGATCCAAATCGAAGGTTTTCATCGTTCTTTTGTGAGTATTTCCGTCTGGCCTCAAGTATTATATAAGGGTATACAGTATATATATTTTTTTGACAATTGATCGTCGTCGTGTGAGCGATTTATGGGCATGAGCTCCTGTGTTTCCAAACTTAGCTGACAGTTTGAAATATTTATGGATCAAATAATCCAACAGCTTGTTTTTTCAAGAGGTCACTTCTGAAGGGCGGAACATTTTTCTTCAAAGTCAAATTCGATTCGCCTTACACAAGTTTCCCAATCATAAATCTGTGAACGAACGATCGGAAATGGATGATGAAAAAATGAATTTGAATATGCGTGTCCCGTGACTTGAAGTTTTAAAGCTTAAAAAAAACGTACACTGCACCACAAAAAAAGAACAACGCTGCTACAAAAAACAGCGCGTGACGAAAATACATCGGACGAAAAACACGGCGAATACATTTGTACTAATAAATTTGTAAAGTGAATATATGTTTATTAATGCATTCCTTACGTGACTGAGCCATTGAGTGCATCACGAAACAGAGCATGCCAAAAACTAACATCAGAGAACTCTCGAATAACTTCCAAAGGAAATTAGAAAATAACTTCAGCAAATAATGATTTTGAACATTCGAGCGATTATCTTAACATAAGGTCTAAAAATCCCGTCTCATGAAATCAAGCGTGAAAAATACTCGATTTTTTGAAAGATTCATTTACCGAATACTGTTATATAAAAGTTGATTCAGAGGCGGTTCAACAAATAGTTTAAACCTTTCCTGGAAAATTCAGCGGTTTCCAAAAGAGCGCGTGCGAAAACAGCGCATGCAAAAAATTAACCATGTAACTCAGTAATTTTGCGTTTTATGTACAGTAGTTAAAAAGACAGATGCACCATGCAATTGGGGTTTGCCAGAATTTGACAATCAACTCACGTTTGATTTTGATTCATCTTAATTTTCCCTCCATGAATGGAAGTGCTGGAATGTAATAAATTGTGGTGGATTTCAATCACCGCCTGCAGATGACGGCATTTTTCTTCAACTTTAGCTGCATTTTAAAGTTTCGTTATTTTTATGACACCTAATGCTTCAGCCAAGCCTTTTTTTTTTAAAGTTTCCTGCCATTTTCCCTCGTGGATCTTACCAGAAATGTCATTCAAAGTTCCGTAGGATGTAGGAGTTTGTCCTTGGCAAGTTTCTCTAGTCGGCGGATTTTTTTTACGAGTACACAAAAAAAAAGTGAGAAAAAGAATGGTAATCATCGGCGTCCTTTGGCCTCGGCAAGGGTCCAAAAATTATTTGAAGCAACCAGAACCCCAGCCATCATCACCCATCCCTAAACCGTCTCCCCTGGCCTTACAATGAATGCGTCCAAGGGAAAAAGTAATCCATTATGCGTTGAAGAAGAAGAGCTTGAGTCCGAGGAAAAGAAGAAGAAAAAAAAGTGGCGGCACGAGATTCTTTTTCGGCGCCTCTCTTTTTCGGCCGCCGTCCAAAGAACTCAAAAATGCATGCCTGATCATGAGCATGTCTCCTCCCTGCTGTTCAGTGATTAATATGCTGAAAAAGGGGTTTCGGGAATAGAAAAATTTGCTGCTGCGGGTCCCTGACTGACCAACTTGAGTGAAAAAAAATTTAAACAAAGAGAAAGAGAAATATATTTATCTTATATCCTATTCTTTCCATCTTGATGGATCATCAGTATGGGTATTTAAATCAGGTTTAATTAAAGAAAATGGAGGATGATGAAGGTTCTCGAGAGTCATAAAAAATGCTTTCAGGGTTTTCTTCTTTTTGGTATTGATTGAATTCATATTCGTGATTTACGTGATACACAGCTCTTCTCCCTGAAACGCGTTACCTTTATTTCCAACTTTCGTCGTGATATATACATATATTTATTTATTTTGGCTTGGAATTCTGCAATGGCGAATCAAGATGGACCTGTGATTTTTGACAGCGTGCATGGACCTGTAACATTGTCGCTACTCAGCCACGCGATTATTGCTACGGAACAATTTCAACGGCTCAAAAACCTGAAACAGGTCTTTTCTTTTTGTGAAAAATATTATATTTTGTCTCAGATTTTGAAAGGAAATTCCTCCAATCAACTGTTTTTTTAATGTTGGGAAGATGTACTGTACATATACGGAATATATAAGATTAAACTCGTGAGCATTTCAGCCAGCTGGGTTGTTTGCAGAAAAAAAACATAAATAAATTTCTCATCACCTCTTCACTGAATACTTCCTTCATTCCAGTCAATGAAAATTCCCAGGTTCATTCACAAGTACCTTACATTGTATCCGCAAAATGTGTATGTTTGTTGCGAGAATAAACGAAGAAATACATTCTCCGGCGGTGATCGAATTTATAGTAGCGCCTGTTCGATCCGATCGCTCTATTTAATCCATCATGAAACATGAATTTTTGCTGTATACATGTAAAACTTAAAGAAATATGCTAATTGGGGCCTTTTTCTATTGAAGAGAGGAAAAGTTTCTAATGACTTTCTACATCCAGCTGACAGATACTTTTTTAACAGCCGAATGACTGGGCAGAATTTTACCCTTCCTCAATTCTACGCTTTCCCTTGATCCTGAATATTAGCTACTGAATATATTACGGCATATTTAATTCGAAAGCTTTGTCAAGAGATGGGGTGTTTTTTTTATATGTATTTTATGAGTGAAGATTATCTAAACCACGTAGATTATCAAGACAGAAAGCAAGTACTGTATTTTGATTTTCAAAGTTTTTTGATCGTAGTAATATATTTAAAAAAAATTGCACACAAAATGGCAATTTCCATCACTGACACGAGCAGGTTTTTTGATATCAGAGTTCATTTCTTCAGTGATAAATCTGTTACAGTGAATAATTATTTTCATGCCATTCAAATCTGTTAAGAAGTTCAAAACACGGCCAACAAAGTAAATTAAAGTATAAATCTTGATTAGTGAAAGCTATTTGAATATCCATACTTCCAAAAGTACTTCCATAACGAAAACACGAGGCTCACGACGCATTCAAATTTCAATTTGGCTGGATATCTTGCGTTTGGGAATCACGTGGAATTATTACAGTAATCAGGTTTTTTTCGTATGTCATGCAAAATTTGCAGGATTTTCCAGTATTGTATTTTTTAATCCTGTTCATCTCGGGTCAGGTTGGAGCCGGTTACTGGGTGTTTCCGGCTGCCAGCAACAATCGATACGAGCACTGTATTGGCACAGCTCACGTAGCCAGGAAATTGGTGCGACAATTGGCGCAACAAACGTGCCCGGAAGTGCCAAAATTAAGCAGCCAGGATCTGCTGTGCATTGAGCTAGCAGGATTGTGCCATGATCTCGGTCACGGCCCATTTTCGCACACTTTTGAACGTTTTCTGGACGAGGTTGGCTGCGAAGTTCGGCACGAAGAAACGTCGGTTTTGATGTTGAAAGCTGCTGTTGACGGCAGCGAGGATGTTCGCAAACTTTTGCAGACTGAAGGGATTTCAGAACAGGATTTCACTTTTATTCAAGAACTAATCGCTGGTCCGACACTAACTAAAGGTTGCCAAGATCGATCAAAGACATCACAGGATAATTTGAATTGTCGAACCTCGAAAGTTTTTTTTTTTTTTTTTTGAAGGCAAGAAAATCAGAACATGTACTCCGTGGCCTTTCGTCGGTCGTGGCAGAGAAAAGGCATTTTTGTATGAAATCGTGGCAAATCCTTGGAATGGAATCGACGTTGACAAGTGGGATTACTTGGGTCGAGATTGCAGGGCAACTGGAAAAATCAACAGATTTTCATTTCAAACTGTCATGGGCAGTATAAAAGTAGGTCAAATATCATTTCATTCAAATGCATATTCTTTCATCTATATGAGCATTTAATTTTACGTTCTAGATGCTCATGAAAAATTCGCGAAGCTTCGGTAGGTGAAACAATTTATGAAGAAATGTTTCTCGTATAGGTTCTATGGTTCTTGAGCAAGCAAAATTATGTAACTGATTTTGAGATGAGAAATTCCTGATTGAAGTGACCTTTGAAGTTTAAAATTATATTCGGCCCATTTTTGAAAAACCTCGCATTATTCAACAACAACAAAAATTTCCTATTACAATTCTGGGAAAAATTCTTTTTTCATCTGCATAATTTCCCACCGGAGAATTTTGTGGCATACTTAATACGGTATTCCGTTTCTTGAAATTTATTCAGAGGATCTATTGAGAATATCAAGTTTTATCTTCCTGAGCTGTTTCATTTTCTCATGTTACCAGTCATTCAGTTCAAAGTATATTTCTTCCAAGGTATTATTGAAGACAGCTGAAAAGATGCAGCGTGTGGTGGAAAAATATGAAGTAGCATTCTAATTTTTCCTGATACTGTATTATAATTTTGTTCGTTTTTATTTATGTAAAAATCTAATTCTGCGAGTTGACAAATGAACGCATCATTGAGAAGAATGGGGAAAAAAGTAATTATCAATAAACATGTTTTCAGACTTCGGCTGTTCAATCATTGATTAAATTTGGTTTCCGATTAGCCGCACAAAAAAAGGCTAAAATATTCTGGCTCCACNGCTTCAGAGGACTTAAAAATAATTCCAAGGAAAGACAGGACTTGGTCATATGATGACCATGTTTTTCGAGTTTAAAATTGCGAAGAAAATACTTAGCAATCATGAATCGTAAACATTTTCTTTTTTGCGTGCTAAATCCATCAGGCGTTGCCCCTGGATGACGGGCAGTGGCGTATTTGCTTTGACGAAAGCGGTCTTTACGAACTAATGACCATGTTTGGTCAACGGGGCTACATGCACCACACTGTGTATAATTGCTGGAAGAAAAACTCCATTGAAAGCATGCTGATTGAGGCCTGGGTCGCCATGGACAAGGTCTTTTATCCGGCTTCGGAAAGCGGCCCCGCAACCCGGCTGTGCGAGGCGGTCAAAGACCCCGACAAGTTCCTCAACTTGACCGACGGCATTTTGGACACCCTGATGAAGCTGCCCTGCGACAACCCGAATGTCCGCAAGTGCCAGGAAATCTTGGGTAACATTCGGGCGGGTAATTTGTACGCGTTTGTGGGCAGCTTTTGGCTCAAACCCGGCACCAAGATCAACTTGCACAAGGACACGGATGGGCTGAAGAAACGCGTTTTGGAATTGGCAACCGAGGGCAGTGATGGGTTCGATGCGACCAGTGCGTGGGACTGGGTTCGGGTTCACTATTTTACGGGCACTAGGACAGAACCCGACGAGGTTTACTTGTATTCTAATCGGGACTTGAAGGCGAAACCCGCCAGTGAAGATATTTTGACGGCCTTCTTGGAGCCGATTTACACCTATGATCATGTTCAGGTTTTTATTTGATGGGAATATGATCGAGATTTTTTTTTCACAAAGAATTTTACTCCTTCGCAGATTTTTGCGAGAACCGAATGCCAACTTTCCTTGGAGGTTTTGCGGAAAGCCTTCGAAACCTTATGCGAAGAAGAGGGGTTTCAAGTGTCTCCTCAGGGTCGCACTTGCGAATGGGAGGAAATCAGAGCGCCATGATTATTTTCTTTCTCAATCTTTGTATTTTCTGAAGAATAAAAACATGCCCTTTCTGCTTGAATGTCGATTGAAATTTTGAAAAATCCTTTGGTTGCGGGATAACAATTTTTCTGTCGGGTTCGTGATGGTTGCTCTGAAATTAGATGCCCTCTCGTGTTTTTTCACGACAGACTTAGCTAAAAAAAAAGTGCAAATTTAGGGAAGGGAAAAACGGTGTGAGATCTAAATGACTGAACTGAGTTTCACCTATAACCATGTCCAGATTATTATTTGCTGGACAAAAATTGAATCTATTCGGGATTTATTTTCATAAACCATTTTACTCATTCGCAAATTTTTGCGAGAACCAACTGCAAACTATCCTTGGAATTTTCGCGTGCTTTTTTTCTCAACCTTTTCTTCCACCGAAGAATAAACAGGTGCACTTTCTGCTCTTGAATGTCAATGGCAATTTTGAGAAATCCTTTGGTTGCGTGACAAACATTTTTCTGTCGGGTTCGTGATGGTCGCTCTGAAATTAGATGCCCTCTCGTGTTTTGTCATAACAGATTTTGCACAAAAGACTGTGCGTGAGATCTGAATGACGGAGATTGCAGGTTTCTGCGGGGGTTTTGGGGCTCCTTGGAGCTCCCTGATGCCCGGGGGATAATTGCTGAGTTCGTGGGGCAGGTTTCTGACAATCATCCTCCTGATCTCAGTGGTGAGCATTTACTGCAATTTGAGGTTTCAGGGAAGGGAAAAACGGCGATTATGAGGAAAATATTTTATTTTTGGCTTTATCNCCGAAGAATAAACAGGTGCACTTTCTGCTCTTGAATGTCAATGGCAATTTTGAGAAATCCTTTGGTTGCGTGACAAACATTTTTCTGTCGGGTTCGTGATGGTCGCTCTGAAATTAGATGCCCTCTCGTGTTTTGTCATAACAGATTTTGCACAAAAGACTGTGCGTGAGATCTGAATGACGGAGATTGCAGGTTTCTGCGGGGGTTTTGGGGCTCCTTGGAGCTCCCTGATGCCCGGGGGATAATTGCTGAGTTCGTGGGGCAGGTTTCTGACAATCATCCTCCTGATCTCAGTGGTGAGCATTTACTGCAATTTGAGGTTTCAGGGAAGGGAAAAACGGCGATTATGAGGAAAATATTTTATTTTTGGCTTTATCTTCAGGTGCTGGAATGAGGGTTGGGATAAATGGCTGACCCGGAAAATCCGCATTTTGAGTGATGATCTCGAATTGGGAAATCTGTCCGAAATTTTTCGAAATTTATGACTAAAAATTATTCACAATTAGGAGCAGTAAAATCAGCATCGATTTTTAACCAGCAGGTAAAAAGAGCAGCTGGCGGTTTTTTTTTTTTAGTTCATTGTTTGTGAAGAAGAAAATACTGAAATAATGCGTTTATCCATCAGAGATCGATTTTCAGCTCTCTGTGATCATAAAGCTTCAGTTTTCTCGGGTCAATCAAAACATCATCGCGTCCACCACATTTTTATGGTTTTTTAATGCGTTTCTAATTATTTCATCGAAGTTTGATACCTTGAGAGAAAGAGAGCTAAAATCACGTGATTACCGCAGTGAAGTTGATGATCCATTTTCCGAAAGGCTCGTAACTTGATCAAACTGGTGCATTTGGACCGAAATCTAAGTATACAGTAGTTGAAATTGATTTTTTGGGCCTAAGACAACTCGCTTTTATAGTTAAGAAATTGCTTTGGTGAATTTTGAATAGGAATAAGGTAGCTTACTACTTAGGTACTTGAAGACGTGATTACCTTTCATAAATGTGACTCACTTCACACTAAGAGCTTGTTTTCGAAATCAGAAATGGGGTGCGAGGGATAGTTCAAATAAATATTTTTTCATAGTCTTGAAATTAAGCTATTTTGGCACCATTAAAAAAATTAGAATCCTAAAATACGGTATATCCTGGATTCCATAAAATCTTGAAAGTAGCTTTTTTCGGCAAGAATTTCATTCAATTTCAGAGCCTTGGGTGATTTATTTCTCTCTTATTTTGATTTTAGACCAATGTCATCTTTCAGCATCACTTGCATACGAATACAGCCTTCGAAGTTCTATAATTTTCACTTTTAGCATATGAGTATGAAAAGATCCATGAAGATTTTTCACGGATTTCAAGTATTTGCATATGACGTGCCTGCATTTTCAATTTACATTCAACTACAGTTCATTATCGTGAGCATTAATCCTTACTTCTGGAATATTTTGATCAAAATACTTAACACTGCGGGTCAATTTTTATGTTCGTAGATTAACTTGAGTTAATCAGGGAAGAAGGAAATATTTCTTGAATCAAAATTTGAAAATTGCATCCAATTCATCCGTGTTTCCTAGGGTCAAAAATTGAAGCACGTGAAACTTTCGATAAGATACTCGCAATAATCCGTAAAATTTAAAAAAATCAAGCATCATTTTTTCTCCGACAGAGGAAAATTTGAGAAATCATACTGACGTGAAAAAAAGAAAACGGGTTTTTCGGGCTGCTTTCGAAATATAAAACGTAATTCACCCATTCGCAAATTTGGGAAACTTATCATTATTCTGCGATCCCCACTGCGGATCACCAGTAGATTATTCCCAATTTTCCCGCAAAGAAAAGATTCGGGCGAAATAATCCATTGACCTCTCGCTACATTTTGAACCAATTATGGAAATTGAGACTATAGATTCTGCGTCATTTATCCGCCTTATTTTTGTATATTTTCTGAGAATATTTCCTGTTGTTCGTTTCCTCGTCGGGAACTGCGGAATTACCTTTTTTTCTTCATATGAGATTTGGAGTTCCCGGGACAAATGCATGGAGTCCCGTTGATCGAAATAATTCCGGGATGGAATGCCTTTGACTTTTGCCCCGAGGGCATCCCGTCCCGGGAACGCTGGCCAGATTCCCCGGGGCTCTGGCGGAAATCGCAGAACGTGCTGGAGGATACTTCCGAGTTATTTTTATTCTTTCCTTTTTTTGTGAAGGAACAAAAGAAATAAATCATTTCAAATTCTTCGTTCTGGGACTGGATCGCATGAGTCTTCATTCGTTCATGTTTCACTCTCCTGTCAATCCCCGAGAAATTGCTTCAAATGGTGAAGTATATTTTTTTTTAAACAAGCATGTGAAGGTGTTGGTGGAATTCAGGGCCATTAGAACCCATGTACGTTGTAAACGTTACCACAAAAAAAAAAAACAGCGTCATGGAAAATGAACGCCACGAAGGTAAAATGGAATTCCTCGTAATTTTCCGCGACAGTTGGATTCCGGGGAATTTATGCGCTAATTTTCGGTAATTGAAAAATAAAAAAAACCCAATTTAGAATTATGAGACAGTTGAGGAGATTGTTCACGCATTTGTGCCACACGGAATAATTTTCTCAGCAGCATTCATGAGATGCAAGACATTTTTATTACTCGTATAGTCAACACAAAGTAAATCATGCCTAACACTTGAAAATCATGAATGAAATGCCTAAAACTCGTGTTAAAACTTTCGGTGTAACCTAGAACATTTGGTGTTGGGTTACTTTGGCGCTTTTTCATGACATTGATTCATTTTATATTTGATATATGCATGTTAATGACAGGAAGATTTATAGAAATTATCTCGATGTTATTTCACTTTTGATATGTTTCATCCAACTTCCCCCAAAAGTTTCAAAATGTTGAATGATAATAGAAATCTGAATTTCCCAAGTTAAAAAATGTTTTTCATTAATGCATACTTGCTTGAAACAAACCGAATTTCGTATTTGTATTTTTCTTGAATTTGTGCGATTGAAATGGATTTTTTTTTAGATGGAAAATGGTATCTATCTGAAAATGAACGATCTTCAAAACTGTTGGAAGAAGAAAAATTCGCTCGAGACGTGAATTTCGAGGAGATTTTCAATGTCACGTTGCATGGAGGTATTATGTTCGAAACTTTTGTTTTTATCCACCATATTGGTTCACTGTAGAGGAACTTCCTTGTTTCTATCATGAGGTGCGCTGGCTTTCTTAGTACAGTATAGTTCCTTACTTTTGAGGTTCATGTTTGCTTCGTCTGGGCCAGTCTCTTTTTGAGGTGCAGATTTAAAATTGCCAAAGGTGGCCTAAATTTGAGGGTTTGCGATAGCTAAGAAAGGACTTCCAGGTGCCGGAAAGGTGTTTGAACTGCGATATTAGTTTGATGTTATGCGGAAGGGCGAGCAGATGAAACCGAAAGTCGCTCGGGGTTTTTCGCGGAATTTGGTGCCCGGTTCCGCGAAAACGTGCCTCACTCGTCTGGCTCTTTGGTATCCACTCCTGAAAAGGGGTCTCTCTCAAGTTTCCGACTTTTTTTTTCTCTTTCGCATTCCAATGCTGAACGAATTACTGCACTGGATCCGAAAAGTTAATCGAGCCTCCGCCTGGTTATTTTGAATATGTGTCAACACAGTTCCGTGTTTGCGAGTAATATTCATTTTTCACTGAAACGTCGTCACATTATTTAAAAAAATTGATCTTTGTCGTCATCAAATTTTACAGAATTGAAATTGGACCTTTCTTGGAAAATTTTAATTTCTTCAACAGCTCACATCGCTTTAGCAAATTTACTGTACAGTATATACGCCATCAGAAGCCAGCAAACAAATCACGTTCACCTTATTTAAAAAAAATCAATGTGACGTTGTTTCGACTTTTTTGAAATAAAAATGATGGCTTGAAAGGTGCCGTTTTTCAATAATTTTGCCTGCCCGACTTGCCAGTGAAAAAAAAGGCAAGAAAAGTTACACTCAAAGGTAAATTTCCGTCAGTTGAATATAATGTAGCCTTGTTCTTATTTCCTCAGACAACTGATTACATTTCTCGGAATTATTTTTAGACTTTATGCTTTCAATTTGAAAAGCTAAGTGCAAATTTCAGATGTTCAATTTATTTCATACCTTGGATGTTTTGTGAATGAATTATAGTACAGTAATACAATAACAGATTGAATTTATTTCATCACAGGCTTCTGTCACTTCCGAAACTGCGCTTCGCACAAAAAGGTGCTAAAAATTGCACATTATTCTACTATACCGTCGTAATTGAT